AGATACCTATTTATATGTGTGGCTTTACTGCAAACGGAATTTTGTAACATATTGTAGGATTTCATATGGTAATTTTTTTTGAGAAGTTAAACAAAGTTGTCGTCCATTTGAATAATAATTCAAATAATGGTATGACTATAAATAAGGTGACAATGAGATGTTTTACTTTTATGTTATACTAGCTGCGCCCGCCGTGTTACCCGCGGATTTCCGAGATTTCCGGGATGTAAAGTAGTCATGTGTTATTTCTGGATGTCAGCTTCCTGTATACAAAATTTTATCAAAATCGATTCAGCTGTTTGAGCATGAATTAGTAACAAACATACACACACACTCACAAACTTTTGCAATTATAATATTAGTAGGATTGTGAAGATATTATATAAATATTAATATATCGAGTTAGAACAGAACTAATAGCCTATCTTGAAGTTGTACACTGTACTTATATGTCAGTTATTAACCTATATTAAAGTTACAAGTTTACTACTAAGAACTGTCAATGAGACTACAATGAAATATTTTGAAATACTCATGAATAGTTTCAGATTTAAAAATACAATGAAACCGTAACTTTTTAAATTATATAAAAAAAATATACATAAATGTATTGTTCCCTCATTAAAACATACAAAATCTAGAAATATTTTTAAAGTATCTATTTGTATCTGGCTATTAAAAACCATGCAGCGTGCTATCCCTGTCATGATTTAGAACAAGTGAGACGTGTGTCAATACTTTTATCTTAGATTAGGGTACAATTTCAATAAAAGATTGTTCAAGGATAAAATTTAAAAGATTACATATTATTCGAATATATGATTATACGCAGACATAGGAAATGACCAAAGCGTATCATTGATAATTTGACTATTTCAGAGGCCGGAAACAACCAAATATCACTTGGGACTATCTTTGTCTAGTTTGCCAGGATTTCATGCAATACTGGATGTGATATTAAGCCCGTCCTTTTTTAAAGGCCTAACAAAGACCTTTAGGTATATCTGTATTGTATATGTATGTATGTATTGTATGTAGCAAACTTAGATGCTATTTGGAGACTTAGAGATGTTTACTAATGAACTTCAATATACAAGATTTGTGTACATGTATGTAATAAAATAAAACGATACTTGTTCTTGGAATCTTCTTACGCTCAATCATTGGCTTGATAGTTTGTGTTTGGAATAAATTTAGCTCCTACAGTAAAAAATAAAAATTTGTTATACTTAAACCTCAATCAAAACTAATTTAGTTATATACAAATTTAAAGCTTCTGACGAAAGTGTTTTTTACTACTACTATACTATTATACTTTAAAACAATATTCTTCAAGACATATAAATACCATAAAAGTTACACTACATAATCACGCGTTATATTAGATAGTTTTTCTTTACACTACATTTTTATATGGATAGACTATCTGACAATATATGAGGTTGTTGACTTTGCGTATCACTAGAGATTTGGGACTGAGAAATTCTCATAACATTTATATAGTATAAAAATATTGCGAAGCTAACATTGGGACCATCACTCAAGATTAGGTATAGATTTAAACTATAAGAAAAACCAACAAACTACAAACTTGCACCTATATAACTTCAGTAAATTTTCTTTCTATAAAAGAGTCTTTAATTAATTAGAAGAAACATACCTTTCTTGATACGAATTGAAGATGAGAATGAAAATTTAAACCAAAAACGTAATAATTTTTAAATCCATTGCATTTTCAAATTATGTATAAGATTATTAAAAGGTACTGATAAAAATTCGTAAAACTTATTAATAAATAACTTGTGATCATATATTAAAATTATTATCATACTTGTGACATAAAAACGGTATAATAAATAAATAATGCCTTTCGTCAAATTAAAATATTATCAGCATACATATTACAATTATTGTCTAGTTCAATGCTACGTACATTATACATCCTATTACTAAAATTATTATTTTAATTTTGTGTTAAACTGCCTGAAATAATATGAGCACAGTTTACAATATTATGATATTCTAAAATGATTTGTAAGTTATAAAGTTAAAGTATAAATTTGAATACGTTGAATAAAATAATGGACAAATCTCGTCAGTATATAACTATTAGGGGTTATTTAAATAAACAACCCCTAACGGTGTGTTATAAATAATTTATTAAAGCATAAGTCATTTGAAATATTATTTTGAACATTCTAACCTATTATAATTTGTGTTATTATTATATTATCATGAAAAGTGACCAGTTTTAACAGTAATATTTTGCCTCTTCATATGCTGGTTTGAGAAGTCGAGTGTGTGTGGACTTGGCCTGTTTATTTTACACAAGCTGTTGAAATAAGCGGCATAAATAGGCTGTTTTTCTGCATGATTGCAATGAAAAAATGGTATCACACTGTTGTTAATTCCAAAAATGATTTACCCATTTTAAATATAAGTAAATGTTGTATCTTGCAATTCATTTTTTTTAATATTATTAAAATAATTTAAACTATGTACCAAAATATATATTTTTAATATGCTTATTTTTAATTGTTACAAGACAAGATTGCATAAATACACCAGAGACTAAAAGTGAAATAGGTTTTTAAATATAAATAACGTTCATTTCACTTTGTAAAACAGACTTTTATGTTGCAATAACTTTAAAATCCCTCAACAATATCAATATTTTAAAGGTTATGAAACCCAGGGAGGTTGCTGGGAATAACTTAAATAACTCTTCCTAGCTAATCCGCTTAGCTACATTTAAGATTAAGGCTAATCCTTTGTTCGAATGAAGCTTTGTACACAATTTCATTCGCTCTACTTTTAGTTGTTTTACATGATTAAAAATTATTTTATTTTTACTATCTTACAAATTATTTTGAATTTCAGTTTCGTTTAAAATTTAACTTTACGTATATCTTTCCAGTCTCAACTTACAAAATAAAGTAATACATAACATTGATCTACCAACAAAAATGGCTTTTCTATCTCCCCATAATGATAATATTTTTATATTCAACTATATCAATAATATAAAATATAATATAGTTTTATAATGTTCGTTTGGTCGAAAAAATAGTTAATACCATCTGGATGATAGCAATTCAAAATTCACATAATCTCGAGAACCCATAAATCGTGAACTGATTGAGTTATCACGAAAGTTGGGCTAGAGTGATATAGGCATTTACAAAATTCTCTCCAATTCCTATTACCGTAGCTGGTGTAAATAGATATTAATAGTCGAAATGAAACTATCCTAGTAATAATACGTTATATCAGTTGATGGAAAATATGATGTTTTATAACAATTTTAAACACAGAAACACAACAAATTTTAAACACAACAACACTAGGTATATAATTTTTAAAGACATAATAATTTTATCAATTAAGCTACATATTTATTTCGTCTGACAAAAATATATACGTATATAAATTGTTTGGACATACGGTTTCTTTATATCAACCAAATACTTATATTTAATACAAAAAAACATTTTTTGTGATACATAAAAAGGGTTTGAACTAAGACACATAAAGTGTTTGAGGAATTTTATAAAGAAGTTGTAAGAACAACTACAATACAGTAATATTATTCCTACTTTTCAATCAAGCTTAAATTTTACTCCTGGATTGATAAATCAGGGAAAAATGACAGTGTTTCGGTCCCAATCTAGATAAAAGGCTTGTAAGGTTCTTTGACAAAAAGATTTATTGCTGTAAATCTCTTGAGAACAGATAAATTTTTCACATAACCGTAGTTCAGCCACTTTTATTACAAACTTGACGGGTTTGATTTATATTTGTAGTGATTTGAATATTATAAATACTAGTAACCAAATATTATGCTAGTTATTTACATTTATTTACATCGGCAGTTAACAAAATTGTATCTATTTTATATCTTTGTTAAGTAAAATATACCTTTGAGAATATATAAAAGATACTTATGTAAAAAGTAATTCTTAAATGTAAGAACAAAGTATTTGTCATTTATACATTTTCCATACTAATCCCATTTCTGTAACAAAGATCAGATATGTGACACGACCATCTGACTCGCTTTGAATTTCAAATTTTGAAACGCATACTTCATAACGCTTATCTGGTTATGTTTAATAACTTTTGAATATAACTTAGTCTGCTACATTCTACTTGATATGACAAAAGATATGTTTATAAAACTACTATACACATGACTCTCTGACTACGACCAAACTAAAAGGTTTAAATTAAATTAAATTTTAATATAATAAAGTCTCTGGATAAATTTAATTAAGACATTTAATTAAAAATTATGAATGATTTTGAGTTAAATTTACTTCACATTATATATGATAAGCGCCATAACAGGTAGCCGTGTCAAAGATAATTCACCTCCAGCTATTAAATTTATAGCCAATAAATTTGTAACTGACTAAACATAAGTACTTATTATAATTATTTTGACATAATTCATTCTGTTATAATAATTTATTTGATTAATTTAAAACATTTGACTCGTTTATATTTTTATAACAAGTATGTACTCAAACATATGTTGGTATGTCTATGAATGACAAAGAAGATTTCACTTTTCTAAGCATTTATATAAAACAGGCATATAATTATAGATAGTTTTAGGATTAACTCCTTTTAATCTAAGCGTATTTTTTCTATTTATTGTTTATAATGTTAGTCACAGCTACTGTTTTCTTTGTGTTTTATAAATTAAAGCAATTATGATGCCTGATTTTTAATTACGTTATAAGAGATAGAAAATTTTTAGTTTTCTTGTTTATGTATTTTACTGTCTATAAAATTACTTTCATAACAAAAAATCATTGAGCATGCTTTTTAAATAATAATTTTAAATGTAATAAGACGATAACATAACTTGTTATACTTTTTTATTGCTAATAAATATATTTTTAAAATAAATACTTCCATTATAAACTTAAGTATATTTTTCGTCGTATAATTATATTTTCTAAAATATAGTTCTTTCTTTGTTTCAGATCTGTAAAATGGAGCGACGAATAGCAAGAGTTATGTGTATTTTAATAACACTTGCTCTAGTCAACGAGTTGTCAATAGCTGTCCAAGCAAGAGATAACAATAAAAGACGAAGCAAAGAGAAATCGGGTGGCTTTCAAAAAAATATATGTGATATCACAGATAGAGATTCAAAAGTTCACTGCTATTGCGAAAATACAAGGGAACCAAGGAATGCGACAAAAGCTGAATGCTGGGTATTCAACGGTGGCATACCCCGTGACGACCTCATCTGGCAAAGTTTCGCATCACAGCCAGCTCTGCAAACTTTATCTTTTAACGTCCGAGTCGATGGAGCGTTGGGCTACGTGCCCACCAAAGCGCTTCAATACTTACAAAGACTTAGATCTATTAATATTAAATATGGAAATATTGTTGAAATTAGTTCATACGCTTTTGCTAATATCACAAATTTAAAGGAAGTAGCACTGTCACAAAATCAAATCGAGTCTATTCAGCAATATGCTTTTGCACACCTACCAAATTTAACAGTTGTAAATTTAGAGGAGAACATGATATTAGAACTTGTTCGTGATTCTTTTATCGATGTGCCAAAATTACAAAAATTAACATTTACTAAAAATAATATATCGACCATAAGCAATGGAGCGTTTCAACACACTTTTAATCTTCTGGAATTGGACTTAAACAGGAATAATATTTTTCACTTAAATCGTCACACGTTCGATGGATTAGCGAACTTAAAGAAATTAGATCTAAGAAGGAATCACATTTACAATTTGACTGAATTTACTTTCGCTGAGCTTTGGAATTTACAAGAGTTGCTTTTGGGAAAGAATGATTTAAAATATATATCAGAGAGAGCGTTCGATGGGTTGTCACAACTAAGAAAGTTGTCCTTGGATGATAATAAGCTGGCTTCACTACCCGCCGGCTTGTTTGAGGGTGTGCGAGGGTTAAGCTCCTTAGACTTGCGTTCTAATGAATTGCATGCATTAACTTTCGACAACATAAAGCCCATTTTGGATAATCTAAAGCCAACAGGCAGCAATCTGTTGCTCGAAGGTAATTAATTTTTATACTCATTATTAAATAGTATAAAGACGGTACGGTAAACTTAAAGTACATTTTGAATATTTAATGACAAGAAATAGACATTTCGGTATAACTTGGATATACTTAGCAGTTTCTTCGGTTATGATCCCGCGGGGTGTTTTTAAGTCGTAGTGAACTATCTCGGCGATTATCGCGCTCGTAGCCAGTGAGAAAGTTTGTTGGTAAAATTATCACTGCCACAGCGCCGCGCTTTGTAATAGAAACAAAACAACGAGACTCACATGTAAATAGCACTTTTCACACGTGAATCGTAAAATTGCTCATCTGTTTTAGAAATGATACCTAGTTCTAAAATGTTAAGTTCTTCTGAGGCTATTTGAATATTCAAATTAAATTATAATGTTTCTCCTGCCTTAATAGTATGTTTAAATTTTATAACACTACCTTGGAAATTCGAACATTATGGGTCTTGAAATAACTTTAATTTTATTCATAAAGTTTTGAAAATATATATTACAATAAAATCTAAGTATACTTAAATTGTTATACATTTATATATTTGCTATACAATTACAACAGATAATATATTAAGTGGCCGAGAATTAAAATGTAAATATTTTTTATTGCCTTCACAGAAAACAACTTTGTTTGCGACTGTCGTCTCAAATGGATGCATTCACTCCGTAATGAAACACAAAGTCAAAATACAAAGGATTCCCTAGAGGGTGTTACTTGTAAGATGGACCCGCCAATCGTTAGCTCCGCGTATAATAAAATGCCAGAAGAAAGTCTTAATATAAACAAGGACAATTCTCTTACGAACATAATAATAGAGACAGTTAAGAAAACGAATTCAACAGAAAAGAAAGATATGACTATTGATATTAATGGCAAGAAAGGTGTTAAGAGAAATGTATTAAAGATACCACCGGAAACTCTGCCTTGCCCTGTCGAAACAAAGAAGACAACCCAATTACCGGCATTTATAGCGGATCCCGTTATACCGATTCAAAACGAGATGAAAACATTTCGGTTTCACGAGATGAATGAAGCTACTAAGATCTCATTTGTACACAGCATTGTTTTATGGAATATTTTCTTTATCTTCTTCTTCACTTAGGTCGTTTAAATTTTACTTATCTAGTCTTTATTTTAAGTGAGATATAGACTCTTTTATACTTAATGATTAAACACAAAGATTGCGTGCGTAAGTGATAAATAAATGTTTGCTAAATAAGATTTTAGGTATTAATGCTACTAATACTTTATTTACTTGAACACGATAAAGAGACATTTTTATATTTCAAAATGTGATTGTTAGTTTCTGACTAAATATTTATTTCTTATTGTTTTTATTTTAATACATATTATACTGAATATTAAACATACTGTATAATATTCAGTATAATTGATCAAAATCGTTTTATTATATAATAGTAATACCTAATTGTTTCTTTTAAAATAAATATTTGTAATTACGAAGCCCACTGCTCGCATTTAATCAGCTTGGTGGACTTAAATCAGAAATCTTCCCACGTTCGAAATAAATACCTGTATTTTCGAATACCGCACATTAAAATTATTTTTAATTGATTAATAATTATTTCTTCGGTGTTTTATATTGTGTAAATAGATGGATTTGTTAGTACATATATATATAAAATAATAAATAAATGTGAAACATTCTAAGGCTAGATGTATGGAAGCTAAAATTGCACTGAACATTTTTAAAATCAATTCTTAATGAATATTCCTTAAATGTATTACAAGTAAGGCTTAATGTAACATTAAATTAATACTAATTTGAAAATAAAATTTAATATAAATAATATACAAGGTATTATATGTTGTTTGTTAGTTTTGTGTTAAGTCTTTTCCTTTTTTTATTATTTGTATCTTAATTGTAAGTTATTTTAAGCATAATAAGTTAATTTCTTTGTATCTAATTTAGAACTTGTATGAAGTATTCGGTGATTTATTTGATGGAACGTTTTGTATGAATTAAATAATTGTAAGGATTTTTATACACACTTGTTTTATTGAAAACCCCTATTTAAGATAAAGATGATTTAAGATAAATTATATACCTTAAAGAGATTTTTATATTTTTGAGATCTTTTGATAAAATTGAAGTACAATCAATTCATCAGTTCTAAAAACAACTTATTATTCTGACAAAAAGAAACTTGAGTTTGAGTGAAATCTTGTTCGTTTTAAATAATGAAAACTAATTACTAACGTAGGCGATTTAACAAAATATTATATATGTAAAAATTATAGTTGTTAGTTTATTTTTTTTCTGAACGCAATAAAGAAATTCAACTAAACCAGTGAGTACGATTTACGTACAAAAAACAATAAAATTTAAATATAAAAAAGTATATAATTTTAGTCTCAACAGATAGCTAGAGACACTTTGTCTCTAAGATCTTTGATTTCTTCAAAACAGATTTTCGTTAATCCATTCAATCCCTTTTCAAGCAAGAATTAGCCGAACGATAAATTTCTTAGGAGGCCCCATATTAAGTTCAAGCGACAAAGCTTATCGGTCTTATATAAACTTGTCTATATAAATGAAGTAAGTACAGAGATAAATATAACCTTCATAAACAATCGATGTTATTGTTTCAATACAATTCAATATTACCGGATATTACTTTCTAATATTAGATTGCTTCGTTCACTGAAATACAAATCTATTGACACAATATAAATTTAAATATTGATATCAATATTATGTTATAAAAGGGCTACTTTTTTAATTTGCTAGAATACTATCCAGTCATTCATATAACTATCCATCTATTAGTCAGTGGTGGCCTAGTGGTTATAAGGCCCGCCTCTCATACACGAGGGCGCGGGTTCGAACCTGGCCCTGGCAAGTACCAATGTCATTTTTCCCAGTCATATGTACTTTCTAAGAGTATTTAGATACCACTGACTAATGCATGCATTAAAGAGGGTTGATGTCAGGCAGGCGGCCGGCCGGTCGTAAAAATAATTAGCCAATACTATTCACAACATGTAAAGCAGACACTGGCTAAAGCTGGGAAATTGCCAGGTAGAAGAAGAAGAAGACTATCCACTCAAAAATTCGCAAAAACAAATCAAGGAATTGTTGGTGGTGCATATACATATAAACCATAAAACTTATATTGAAAGATAAACAAATTCAGAATCAGTTATTTTTGTTTTTTTAACAATTGTTATGTCTTTTTTTTTTTTCAATATATTGTGATTAATTATGCGATATTAAAATGAAGCGCCTGATAAAGAGAACTGAATCGCCGTCGTTGCATCATTTAAAGTAAGTATGGAGCCAAACGCAATTTCTAAAAACCTCTCTGCGCTTGGTATGAGCGAAATCTTAGTTTGCAGAGTTCTTGTTAGCTAAAATGAAATCTTCACTGATTGTGACAAAAGCGATCTAGCCATCTACTACATTGTTTCTTTATATTAACAATAAGGACAATAATTCTAAAAAATTCCTGTCCGAAACCGATAGATTTATCTTGGTATATAAAGACAACGTCTAAAGGGATGTTGCCTATTTTAAAATATGATTTAGGACTTAGAGTCTATAAATTATTCAGTAATAATTTCTTAAGTATAATTTAAAACAAAAATATAAAACTAGTTTAGCAGTGCGGAAAGAAAGTTCATAGAAATATAAAAAATACGTAGTAGTAATTTTTACGATTAAGCAATGTTTTATAAGAAAAATACCTAAATGAATACTGAAAGCACTAAAACATCTTCCTTATTAGTATTAGTAGAATAGATTGAAATGTGGGCACTATCCAACTTGATTGAGTTTGCCGAAGCTATATTACAATGTTTTGAGCCATGTATTTGTGAAAAACATATCAAAATATTAACAGTTTTATCGAGATAGTATTCTTGAAAGCATAGTTAACTATCTCAAAAATAATATTTTCAATAACTACGAATGGTCATTTCAGGAATACTGTTGGTTAGCAACGAAGATTCCAAATTTCCACAAACCCGAAAACTGACCGTCTTTTAGTCCTAATCTTAATTCAATGGATTATGATTTAAAGCCAATTTAAGAGAACAATAACAAGGTTTACTCACAAAGCCATGATGATTATCCATAAACAATTAATATTATCGACATGGAAAGACTGCGGGCTACTATGATAAGCTAGTCTCATAGTTAAATGGGGACCAGTTCAAATGAGCTTTTACATTTTTAATAGATTTATATAAATGTAATAACCTAACCCACGATAACATAATTTTTGAAAAATATATAATGTGTATGTATGGTAAGACTAAGTATCTCTTTGAGGTTTATAACGTTATATGAAAAACATAATTAATTTTTACTCAGAAACAGAATAAAATCTTTCTTAGCTAATTTAAATAAATAAAGCAATGATATAAAAAGGATACTTTAGCTATTAAGTAAATGTAAAGAGCGATGACGATTAATTATTTATGGGCAATAATAGAGAAATTTTAACTAAAAATACTTTTGGCTCTGTGTAGTTCACTTGAACATCCTAATGTTTTGATTTTAATAATTAATAGTTAATTTATATAAATACAAATATAAAATGGCTGCATATATTCTTTTGTGAGAAATAATTACAAGTACCTACGGACTCAAAAATTTGAGAATTTTTAATAAAGGTATATACCTTATAAAGTATAAAATTTGTAGGTATTATGATGAACAATTGTCAAATCTTTCTTTAACTTTGTTTAATTTATATATTTTTTTGTATATGCATTTATACTTTAGTTTATAGCGGCTATTTGGTATTGATGATGTTTAGTATGTAGTACGTTCATACCAAAATTTTCTTATTTCTATTTCTTCCATACTTTTTTTAGTTTAAATTTAAAATACGTACTTGTAAAAGGCCAGATGGAAATATTATCAATATTATGGAAAAAAATTAATAAATAAAAATAGTGAACACACTATAGAAATTCTTCTTCACTTGACGTTTTCAATATTTGACGCTGCTATCAGTAAAAAGAATGAAGTGCGGAAGGTGCGGGTCAGTGTAAAAGCAGTATAAACCGGTTCAAACCTAGAAAAGAACGTGTGGTTCAAAAATTTTAAATCACACCTACACTATTCGTGTTCACTCACACAAATACAAAGCTTAAATCAAACGTACTATACAAGAAAACGTATCTTGGCGTATCTTTATTTCAAATAATACTAAAAGTTTTGAACTTACATATTTTATAAATTATACTTTAAGTTAAACGAAAAGGTAGCTCATGTTGGGTATTTCATATCGTTAATCGTTATATTACAATTTGAGCCTAAAATACACAACATATTATAAAAGTTCATATTCAGTTAAATAAATTTTACCTTACCTTATGAACCTTACCAGTACCTTATGAAAAAAATTCTACATCAAACATACAAATGGAGTGATCGACGTTATTTACCACTGTAATTGGAATGTTATTACGAAAATAATGATAGCAAAAAATAGAGGGAACACAAAAAGTGCATAAATATGTATACTTACGCAATACAATGTTGCTGGTGTATGTTGAAGAATAAAAGTCGTCAAGTAATAATAAAACTACTGTCATTAAAATATTTCATAGCTAGTTCTTTCCTGCATCTCATCGCGTAGACTGCTGAAGAAACGCATAAAGTGCGGAATCAGAGATAAATATATAAAGTGTGTCCAAACTATAGATGTGGTACATCTACAGTTTGTAGTCTGTGTTGAGTCACTACATACAAAATACAACTGTTTAGCTTGTTACTACGAGTATTTCAATCGGAAGAAATTTATTGATTAATTTCTTCATTTATTTTATAAAGATAAAAATATATTCATACGTATATCAATACATACTCTCAAACTTTCGTATTAGCAGGAATAGACATCAATTCTAATCCATTTAAACTATAAATATAATAAAGTAATATTTTTCTATATTATCTATTAGGGACAAAGAACCAAAATCATTTCACTGACATCTCCACAGACATAAAACCTCGTAAGAGGATACAAATGAATGATATAAATTTGACAAAAACTCCTTGATTAAAGTAATTGCGTTCCCATTTTATTATCATTAAACTAATTGGAAAAAATATAATGAAATATTACAACA